ATCGATGGCTTCAAACAGTACAATTGTTTAACTGTATTATGGCTTACAATTGTTTAACTGCTACAACAACAATTTAACTAATTAAAATTTTTTAACTGCTACATGTAAATTCAAATTTAATGAACATTTTACGTTAGAAGAAATGATAACTTTTGAATAGAAGTTTCACAAGAAAAAAAAAATTAAATTTTCGAACATTATAATATATGATTAAAATAGTTTTCACAGCATTTGAGATCTACGGAAATTCAAAATTAAAATAACAATTATTTGACCTAAAATAAAATGTTTTTCCAATAAACAGTTTCCTTTTTACTTCTGTTTTTGCGAAAGTTTTAATTGAAAATACATGCTGACGGTTTCCTTAGTGATAGATATGAAATAATTTATAACTACCACATAAAATTAATTAAAATGTAAAAAACTTAATTATAAAGCATTATTAAATTACGATAAAATTCAAAATATGTGAATATCAAAATAATAGGAGAAAGATAAACATTAAAAATAGTGTAAAAATCATAGATACTGCTGTTACCATAGGTGAGTAATGGCATGGTCAGAAATAAAGGAAAATGATCCAGCGCCTTTCTATAGAGATCTTGGTTGGAAACTAGGACAACCAATCAGAAAGTGCTCAGACTGCTGCTCTCTAACTGCAATTGTTAAATTAGAAAATTTTGAAAGGGAACATATAACTGGGTGAAACATTTACCGATATGACGGCTGAGCGCCGCCTTAGATAACCACTGACCTGACTTTGTTGTAAAAATCTTACAGTGTTAATAGTCATCCTGGCAGAAGGGAATAATTCTTCCGTATAAAAATATAAATATAAATATTACATGGGCATACAAGGCCTCTGTATAAGCATAGATAAGTTAATTACAAACATTGTCTTGTACAAGTTACATGTGATAGTTACATAAAAATCATGCCAGTTATGTGTAGATTTATACATTACCTGAATTCATATTCACAACACTTTTACTGAGATAATCAAAGTAAACTTGTAATTAATTTACACATTGCATTGACTGGATTTTCAATGCCAGTTTAAACTGCTTTACAATATTACTTTTATCAAGTACATACAGACTGTATAGTAATATGCTTACATTACAATAGTTTTGCACTTACAGTCTTGTTACTATTCTACGGGGTGAGCTATTTTTCTAGTGCTGATTTTCAGTTGTTGTAGTATTTTGATTTTTTATTAAAATTATGTTGCGAAGAAGTGGAAAAAAAGAAAAATGTCGAATATTTCCTTTCGGCCCGATGACGAAAAGTGGATGTTTTCTTGAAAACAAAATCTTGTTTTGCGAAATTTCGGCAAGAGCTATTGTAGAGATTTCCATTTCACTTGTTAATAAAGTAACAAACAGACTATCTACTTGGTATATTTTTTTTATACTTCGAAAAAAAAAAAAAAGTTTCGGAAAGCCATTCTTCAAGAATTGCCTTTGTGTTTCCCTCTGCGCTCCAAAGAAGATACACTAACAAATTTGAATTTCCTGCCAAGCATATGTAATTATAGTAGCACCATTTTTGGTTTTCTAAGTGGGATGGCAGGTTTCATGAATGGTTATCAGAAGCGGTTTGAAGATATCAGTTTAATAATGGAGGATGACGTAGGGGTTTGAATATATCACTCTAATAATGAAGGATGACGTGAGATAGGACTACATTAAGTGTCAATTTTCATTAATAAGAAACAGCACAAAGAATGAGTAAACTGCTGAAAAAAGGAGGACGAAAAGTTAAAGGAACGATAGAGAGCAGAAGATTAAAAGTGGAAATGTGACCGATTGAGTTTCGAATTTCATATGAAGTGAAAAACGAATGAAAAATGGAAAACGATGAAGTGATAAAATAAAAGAGATAAAGAATTTTTGACAAATTTCTATTTTTATTTCGATACAAATAAACTTGAGCTTGATGAATTCCTGGAATAAAAATGTTTAAGAGCGTTGATGGTAAGAAGGAAGTCAATGACATAGCTCTCCAACTCCGATTCTTGTATATATTCTAACATCTTGTATATAGTGACTCTCACATAGATTCCGCTTGGAATTAGATCCGGCTACCTGTATCAGCGTCTTATGTTACTTAAGAAGAGATTGTTTTATTCTGAACCTTCATTCGGATTTTGGTTCTCATGAAACTGGGAACCCGCTGTTTTGTTTGATGTATTATCTGACTACCTTTCCAAATTGTTTAATTTAAAGAGCAAAGGACTTTCCTCAAGATAGTTAATGGGACAGAGACTTGGAGCCTCTGAAGACAGCTTCCGTGAATGCAGATTGCCTCCTACTCGTGAGCAGTATAACATCTTGGAATATTTTTGACAAACTGATCCGTAGTAATTAATAACTAGGTCAGTATGTTTTAACTGCATAAAATGAGATTCGAGAGGTAAACTTACTCATCATTCGAATACTGTTTCCTATTACGTAAGATGTTCCTAAAGTATGTAATATTGAAAGAGTTATTAGCATGTCTCAATTGTTTATGTTAGTAGAAAGATTATTACATTGAAATATTTGCAAACAGAGTGAATATTCTATTGGAACTATTAAACATGATCAAATTGAATATATGCGTGTCTTTGCATTTTATCTGTATACTATATTAAACGCTAAGACTCAAGTTTACTTATCCATTTGAATCTGGCTTACGCACATAAGGATCCAGATTAATTATCATTTTGAAACTAGTTTTTTTTTTCCTATATGCAATAATTAAGATTGTTTGGAGTTTGAGGCACCAGCATCCCTTTTAGAAGTTGGGTATCTACTACTTTATGAAGGAGTCGTACAATACTGTGGTTCTTCCATAGTTATTGCATGATTTTCGCCTTCTGAAATCTGAGGTCCTATACCCAGGCCTATTGATGGTAATCAATCCCTAAAGGTATGAAGTGCTTCAAACAGTGCGAAAAAATAAAAGAATAGGAAATTTATGAACACCCTCGAACTGTGTACACAATATCGATAGATTTTTCAGTTGCATTGTATTGAACTAAAATCAGGAGGATCAAGAAAAAGATCTCCACTTCTTGGCTCAAATAAAACTGAATTTACAGTAAAAACCAGTGCGATTACGATACGTATGTAAAATATAAATATGTTTAGATTGCTATGAATTAGCTTGATCACCAAACCAACTATCAGAATGTATATCAGCATTTAATGTGTTAGGTATAACATATTTTTTTTCTCAGAACATCATTTATAATGAAAGATAATTTCTTTCTTTCCACTGAAACATTTCTTTTACGTTACTAATATTGTGATATCCATTATCAGATATGTTGAGGTTTTTGGAATTGTTTTCTGTTATCCGGAATTGGTTCTCAGTTCCTCATATTGCTTTATACTGGTTAATACTGGCTGCAAGAAAGGACATCCAAGATACTGGAATAGTTCCTGTGCATGTGATGTTTCATCATTTAAGGGTTATGTTAATTTTATTAACAGTTTAATTTTGACTTAAACTTCCTTTCCTATCGCTTCTTAATTTCATCTTACCGCTTCCGGTCAGAACGTAGTTTTAGAATCACGTCTGAATGCTAATGAGGAAGAGTGGTATTTAACTGCGAAGTTCTGCTGTCTTAATGAGATAACACGCGTCCGCATTTTTAGGCTCTTGTAAGCTATTATTACACTCGGCCGTACTATAGGCCCTTGATAGCTTCGCAGTCAATTAGCGTTAAGGAGCCAACTCCGTTAGAATCTTGATAGCTTCGGCTATATGTCTTTAGTTTAGTTCAGTTTAATTCTTAGTTTCTTAAGTTGAAGCCCGAGTGTCGGCTTTGTTGTACAACTCCAAGACGGAGTTTTGTTAAACTTTAGTTGGAACAATAAAGGGTTATTTCACCCTTCTCACTTGTCGTTTTCTACCTCACGAACTCAAGCGATTATTCGATTACTAGTTCTTAAGATTCTTCACATTGATCTGTAACTTAGAAGTACACAGTGGAGAATCCTACAATCTTAAAGGAAATTTTTCTACTAACAAATCCAGAAGAAAAATTTGGAAAAGAGTAATTTATACACGGCTGCATGTAATTTCTTCGAACTGTCTGTTTGCACAACATTTAATACAGCAATAGATGAATAATGAGACCTTTTCAACTCATAAATGAAATGCCTAGTGGCAAAACTGAGTGTATTATTTCATTCTGGAAAGTGTTAAGTCACCTCACATGGGTGTTAATGGAGGATATCTGTCTAATGCCCGTTAATCGGTTATTGTTATGTTTAATAGACTGTAGCAAAGCACTCATCTGAGGGCAGCGATGCCTTCAAAGAAGACTTCAAAGAAGAAAGAGCTTGATTGATACCCGAATGTTTATGTAGCATTTTCGCTGCTTACATTTACTTCATATAGAGCTGGTATACATCTGGGAAATCTGTTTTGAATAACAGTTATGTCAATCTTCACTCAGTTGGATGGATTTTTCTTAATTTTTTGAGCAATCCTAAAGTTTCACTTCATGACAGTATATTAAGAAGAATTATGAAATGCAAGGGTTTGAATATTTGGAGTCGAATTAAATCAGACGCATATTTCCCATTTCGTATAATTTGGTATTGATAATCTATGTGTTGTACATATTTTATCCACATTGCTTAAAATGAGATGGAGACTGCGCAATTTTACGCAATTCTTAAATATCTTTTACTTATATAATGGTAATTTTATCTTGAAACTAATAATGAAAGGAACAGTACATCAAAGGGAAACAACATAAAAATACTAAAAAGGTCTTATAAATATAAAAAGCAAAGTAATTAAAAAGGACTGAGTGACAGAAATGAAGAAAACTTAGCAGTGATAATGAACGCATTTTCTAGTAGCGTTTTATTTGAGGAGAATCAAGAAATATCCTAAAATGCAATAACTCTCCGCTTTGGTAATTTCTCACATTATTTTAGGTAAGTAATATTAAATAGCAATTTAAATTTGTGAAGCGAAATATTATGGCAGATTATTACCTTTTTTTACGGATTTAGAGAAATAATTTAAAATGCGAGGAAAGCTCCAATCCGTGGACACATTCCTTGATCAAAACAAATGTCGTCACAGAGAATACGAGCACCCTAGGAAAGTAACAAATGCATTATATACTTTAGTAGCAGATGGCTTTTCATACATACAAATGCAGCAAGAATGCAGACAATTCATTTATGTGAAATTATATATTAAATTACACTGGAAAGCAGCTCCAAGATGTATAATATTATGTTTCTTTCATAAATGTTTAATTAACAAGCCTCCTTTTTCTTTTCCTTTTTTGAGTTTTTTGTTTTTGTTTTTTACGATATTTGAATGGCATTATTGGAAAATTAAATTTGCTTCTAAAAAAGGTAACTGTTAAGACGTTTATAAATTATTCATTTCAGATTACACAACTAATACGAGACTGCCAAGGAAAAATCTGAATTATCATTCAAAGATTTAGATAAAAGGAAAACAACAAATCATCAGATTATAAATTTCATTCATGAACATTACCATTCACATCTAACATAAAATTTTATCTCAGATCTTTAATAAAATGCATTTAAACTGCTTATAATGGTCTAAACGCACAAGAAATGTAAGGCATCAATAAAACTGAAACGCACATTTACAAGATTAACCCGGTTTTTAAATAGGTTTTTATTTATACATTAAAAATATTTAACAAATTTATAAGACTAATTTATGCAACGACTTTCAGAGATATTGTGTAGTGTATTTATCATTATTTAATATATAAAATTACCTTTCTCGGGCTATAATTTTGAGATTTTAGATTCAAAAGTCAAAACATGAATTTAATGATAGTGTTTTGAAAGATTTAAATTATTCTTAGTTGCAGATCACATGTTGGTTTTATAGCTCGCGATTAACATTCGCATGCAGATTTAATATTTTACGTAAGTTTAAATATGTGTAGAACATCAACGTAGTAGCTGAATGTCATTTGCTGACATTTTTTTATTATTATAAATTCTAATTTAATGAATCTGAAAACTGTACAGTTATGCAACGGAACAATTAATAATCCGAAAATTATTGCCTCATGTCAGTTTGCATTTGGTTGCTGCATGACAAATGATAACATTATATTGTTACGTTTTTCGTATTGATTTAGCTATTTTTAAATAGAATTAATTAAAACTGTTTTATATTTCAGTGCAATGCAGCACCAGACTTATTTGAAGAGGAAAAATTAAAAATACATGAGCACGCGCACTTAGTAAATAGATATCTCGTAATTGTAGCTTTTGCTTTCCTGAAAAATCAAGAAAATATCAGAATATTCTCACACATTTAAAAAGCTTATAAAAAGCGAGCTTAAAACATCTCATTTCAGTTGTTCAGAAAACTGTTGTTTACTGTAGCGAATTCGCGGTGAAATCGGATTAGATTTCTCTGTTTTGAATTAAGTTCTGTTGAAAGTTTTAGTAGTTTAAAATATAACTACTGTGAGATATTGCAATATTGTTAGAATATCTGAGGAAATTCAAGCATTTTGGTTCATTTCTTGTGATAATAATAAATTTTATTCACTTTTCATCGGACTTGTGTATTCAATTTATTACGAACCCGTACGCACACAACAATATGACCTTTGAACTGCGAAAAGTTGATATCCAGTGCAGTATGAGACCGAGTATTGTCTTAAAAACGTGAATTATTTTCTTGAAATCAGAGAATTTTTTTAAATGTTGCATAAAAAAACTTATCTTTCATTATGAACAGTGATTAATGTATAAAGACTATTTTAATTTTTAGAAATGTAATGTCACTGATAGTCATCCTCCTGTCGCTCAGATATTGACTATTCTCAGAGAACAAAGAATTAGAACGAGAGCTTCGCGTAGAATAATATAATAGTTTGCTATAAAGGAAATAACCAAGTGTAAAGAACACTAGCTTTTAACTGTAATTTAGTTTTTACGAACTGGCAACAGCTTCTTTTCGATTGCTTTTCCTTTTTGATCACGAAGCTTTGCTGCAGCACAATGAATATATTGTTGGTACAATAAAGGATTTCTTATGTTCCCTAAGCATTCGCCTTCTCATGTAGGATTTAGTTAGTATTTTCTCTTTTTAACAGCAAATATGATGAAGTTTATAATGTATATAAGTTTCAAATCTAAGGTGGACGTAGATCCACCTCCTAGTAGTGAACCCTGGAACCGCTTTGCGCCTGAGTGATCTACAATTTTGCACTACATGCACCCTTCTGAGCTGTTTTTAAAAAAATTATTTAATTTTCTACCAGCTGAAGTTTTTTAAATATTTACATCTGATATCTTACGAGATTTTTAGACTCGTACGGCCTTAAAAAGCTGGAGGAGGTATAAAGTCCCTCTTTTATTCTCGATAGTCCAAGACGCAATGCAGTTGCGGCTTTCCGTCTTTCTACAAGAGAATAGTTACGTTGTCGCCCACCTGCACTGCATAGGCACTTCAAGTGCTCCTATTTGTCCACATTGTGATCCTGGAAAAGAAATGAACAGGGACCACGTGCTTCGATATAGAACTCTTCGTGGCTTTACAGAAGAGTCGAAAAATGGGAGGCAAAAACGCTTCTTTCGCAACGACTTCGAGTTTTGTTATCATAGTTCTATTGTTTGTAACCTCTGTTTATCAGATTTTAGCTCTTTGTAACTTTTTGCCTAATAATAATAATAATAATAATAAAATAAAATAAAAAAGAAAACCTGAAAAGTTTCAGATTTTAAATTACGACCAGAGGGGCGTTTTTTCTTACATTTTGTGTATTACCATTTTTTTATTAAATATCATGTTCTTCGCTCTTAAACCATACAATTCAGTTCCAGAGCAATATCGCAAAATAATTTTAAATTGAGCAAATCATTATAATTTCCGAAACACAGTCTCGCGCACTGGAAATAAAAATGTTTTGTTTTTCGTACAGTGTTGCCATTGCCCGCTTTGAAATCGTTGAGTTTCTTAATGAAAAATTCCCTAAAATTTTACAAAATATGAAATAGATAATAAAATAAGTTCCAAATTCCAAGTTCGGGCTCCCAGTTCCCATATTCTAGTGAACAACTTATTGAAAATTTGATGTTTCTAGGTACCGTTGTTTTTTCGCAGTGCGAGAAACACACATACATTCATGCAGATTGTTCTTTATTTAATATCTTTAAATATAATGCGGGTCCCTAATATTTGGTGGCAACAATTTGAAAAGTAAACCGACATTTATAGTTAACCAACGCAAAATGCCAAAACGAAATTAATAGCCCTTCTGGGCTAAAAATGTTTCAGATCTTTAAAATTTTACCTCAGATTATCTAGTAAATCAAGTTCTCATCAAATAAACAGTAAAAATTCGACAAACATAGAAAGGCTATCAGAAAAAAGGTGCTTAAAGAAACGCGCGGTTTAGGATTTCAATTAACAGCAAATTTGAATGAAAAATATGATAATAATTATTAAAAAATGAGAAGTTAGTAAATATTTCATGTTCAAACTATTGGAATGGTCCTTTAACGAAAACCTAAGAAAAAGACTTTTTATACTATACTTTTTCTGTTTAGCTTAAATTATTAAAATAAAATAATTATAAAAAATTTATAAATTATATATTTAAAATTATATTTATAAAACATAAATAAATATTAAAAAAAAAATAAATTTAAATAAATGCGCATGTATTTTTCGAGGTTTGGAACGGAAGGTGTTAATGATCGTCCAGCAAAGGTAAAAGTAGTGTATCAAGGAAAAAAAATTGAGAACCACTGAGTTAGACTTTCCTCTGTATTCACTTCTTTCGGAATAACTTATTTTTAAATTCTTCTCGAAGTTCTTGAGAGTTTTAATATATTATCAGCAGGCTAACTTTAATTTTTTGGAAATGTTTGTAAATGGTGAAGATAGTCACGATTTAATTTAGAAGTAAACAGAATTAGACTTTCAACCACTCAATTATTTCCTTAAATGGAATGTGTCGTGGCGCCATCTATAGAGGCTTGTATAAACTATTTTCTTAAAAATTTTTTGACAATCCCACATTCTAAGTTTACATATTGTTCTTTTCTTAAAAATAAAACCACTTCATTTTAAAGTTAGAGTAGGATTAAGGTTCATCGGTCTATTCTTGTAAAGGAATAATTTAAAATTTGTTAATAAATTGCAGATTTTATATCTGAAGACAATGTTGCGACAATGCGATGCAAAGTTAATGGTTTTTCTGTAATAAGTAATTTGGAATAAAGATGAAGCGTGTTCTTATTAAAATTTAATATTCTAGCAAACAAAATGTGGAAAAAATGTCGACATTTATTTATAAATACAGCAAATTTGCATTTCAGGATATGATTTGCAGTGCATATTTTGAAAAGTGGCCAGATTTTCCCGAAACCGATGCAAGACATGATACTTTTTCGCTTTGTTTGAAGCATTTCTGTCTTAGAGTAAAACAGACTTAGCAAATAATTTCTATCCTTTGTCAGAGCCGTAGCTAGGGTTTTCATCGCCCGGGGGCAGCTGAAGATTTTGTGCCCCCTTTTATGTGCCAAGAATGGGAAATATTTCATTCTAAAATGTCATAACATCAAATTGGCGCCCCCTGGATACTGCGCCCGGGGACAGATGTCCCCCTTTGGCCCACCCTAGCTACGCCCCTGTCCTTTGTACAAGTGGTCGCCGTTGAAAATATTACCTTCTAAGATGCTTGATACCAGTGTTAAAGCACGTTCTTAGAAATTTTATCCATTTTTAGAGCTGAACTATGAAAGATTTCACAATATTTGCCGACAAAAAATACGCTGCTCTTTTACTATAGATCTCATGTACATGTCATTTTTTCAGAAATCAAAATACTTTTTTGCTCATTCAAAGTTCCTGAAGAAGAAATTCCATGTTTGTTAACTGCCTTTGAAATCTACGTTTTATTCAAAATTTAAGTGAAATTACGGTTTTTTTTTTCTTTGCTTAAATTTGAGATTAAAGACTTTTTTTCCAGTTTAACTAACTGGCAAATTATTCATACCCTGTGATTATCGAAATTGCACTGCGATATGTAATAACATATTTCTTCCGTGCAGTTTTTATTTAATAATACAGTATTGTTCAGCTGCCATCCTCGTCGCCAGCACAGCCCCTGTATGTTTTGCACTTATAGTTAATGTATTTAAGTTAGCCTTTTCTGTTTTTTTCTGTTTCTATTTATTTATTGTTGACCAACTTTAAATTGTCTGTATTGCCTTATTTAATGTATTATTTTTACTTTTGTATCAATCCTTCTGTTATTTGTTGACAGTCATAATCAGTGCACTATTTAACTGACTGCAACTCAGTTATACATGTACCTGTATTTTAAACATCTACAGTACCCATTTGTTGTTCACGTTGTAGATACCTATTGATAGTACTTAAATTGTAACCATCTGTCTATAACTCTGTACATGGGAAACTGAAACTATTCTCCTCACCCGCATTGCAACCTTCTTCCATCGCTGTACCATTGTCTCTCCCCACATTTGTTTGCAACCCCGCAGCACTCGTCTTGAGCACGATATGCACCAATGTGTGTTATGTGGACTTCTGAAAGAGCTGGAAAACTCAGTTTACTTCCCCCTTCGCCAAGCATAGGCTTGGAAAGCCTGCAATCCAGAACTTTTGTAACAAAGTTAATTCCATCAGCGAGGCTACCTGGCCGATATGCTAACTGCCCGAGTGGATCAATTGCCTCGCTGTTGGTGGAAAGAAAGTACTCCATTCCATTCCATTTACCGCTGTTATACTGGGCCTAGCCGGCGTGAATTTGCAGGCTTTTTGCCAGT